TGTTCTTTGAGCTGGATGGTTTAGTCGTGAAATACAATTGTTCTCGAGTGGAAGCCTACCTTTTGGCGAAATTCTCCCATTTTCGAACAACGAGAATTAGTGTGTATATATATTTTGAAGGTTTATTAAACAGTTTTCTTAAAGTATTTCCACATTCATTGTGTGTTATCACTTTTGTTTTATTAATTGTAATTTTTTGAGGTATTTATTCTGTTCAATTAACCGATCAATAATTCGTATCACTATCGGGGTTGAATTTTTATTCAGATCATCAATAGATCAAAATCACATAATCACTGGAAATGTGGAATCGCTGGAAGATTATTTCATCTACTTATAAAAATCCTTAGCAGTGCATATTCATAATCACTTCTAGATTTTCAAACGATTGTTTAATCTAAATCACTGGTCAGTGAGTAGACTTGTGAAATGGAAGGTCACTTGTCCTGTTATTATAAAGTGAATTAATCAGTGATCAGATTCCTGTGTAGTCAATGTACCAGGTGATAAACAAAAAGCAAAGACGATCCAATAACAACGACTTTTTTTTTTCGCAAACTCGTTTACTGAACCTTTTCAGTTGTATGGATAGTTACTTAACAAATTTATTAATCTACTAAAACATAGAAAGGGACTACATTATAAAATCCTCAAAATTTTAAAGTATCACATAGAAGTTATGGAGATAGGTTAGATAACTGTCAATTTACTTCTCAATGTCTAATAGATGTACAATATCTAACATTTTTACGTTCATTTAGTGAATGAATACTGCAGTTTAAGAGTAAAAATTTTACTGGTGATTTCATTTCAATCTCTAAATTTCACTTTATTTTTGTTCTCTTTTCTTTTCTTTTTTTTTCAATCCGACAATTTGAACTGCACTACAATAGTGTGTTCTGTGAACTAATTCTTTCTTCCTGCACTATATCCTTATTGCAATATTTCTTTCATATATTATCACCACTGAATTAACTACTTCTATGAATCCGCTGTTCACCTTGATATGCTAATGAGGTATGACAACTTGGACCGATGGACATATATGCCTGGTCCAGCGTTGTAACTGACTGACTGACTGAGTGACTCACACTAGACATATATAGATACTATTAAATGATTAAAATGAAGTTTCTAATGAAAATTATACTCATTTGTGCAAAACTTATCAACTAAGTGAACGAGAAGTACTAGATATCATAATCTTTATCAAACATCTTTAAAAAAATAATGGTTATCCTCATACAAGTTTGTGTATTAAATTATGAGTTAAAGAAGAATAGTCAACTGAGAAAATAATTTATAAATCAAAATATAAAAACGATTGTCTATTTTTAATGAATATCAGAAAAAGTAAAGTAAATGGAAAAGCAAAACTTAGTGATAATAACAAGTAATTAATAATTGTAAAGATTTACATAGGAGCTTATAATCATAGCATGATGAATGTATAGAGCATACTACTTCGAGATGGTAGAGAAGATTTGTAGCTCAGGCGGAGTTTTGTTCTCTGAGTTGGATAGTTTGGTTATGGAGCTTTCATCGTTATTTTGAACGATATCATAAGCACACTTCAGTTCTACTTGAAATTTGTGTTGATGGTTTCCTTCAGAGGAATAATGAAAGCTCTACGACCAAACTATCCAGTTCAGAGAATAAAACCACCAAAAAGATACTACTTCTGTATACATATTTCAAGCTTTAATAGTTAGATTGTGTATTCGTATTATTTCTTATTTTTACTGTGTATATTTTTGGAATATCATTCTGGAAAAAACAATTTAATCAGAATTGACCAATTATATTGATTTGTTTACTCTATCTGACAGTCAGATAGGACAGTAGTTAAGGTTATGTTACGGAAGAGCTTACTTTTCATAACCGATGTTATCAATTCCCTAGAACCAAGTAAATGTATAAATGAATATTGATGCCATCTAAGATATATGTTTATCTCTACCCTTTCTACAAAGCATAAGCAAGTTAGAGAAGATAGTACGAAATTTTATAAAATATTTAATGTTTTACCAAAAATCTTAAATATCTGATTTTAGAGTTTCATTTGAAATACTTTCTCTAACTTCAATGTTAATAAGGAGAACTACTCGTGTTAGTATAGGTAACTCTTAGGATACATTATAGTGAAGATTCTAAAAAGCGTTTTATTCTCTTGAACTTCAAGAATTATAGAGGCTTAAGCAAGTCACAGATTTAAGCCCAACCTTTGTTTATAACATGTATAGTCTCTTATTGAACCCTAATATTTATCCTCTTTCATAACCTTTTAGTTATATTAGGTGTTTTAGATTTTTTTAAAAGTTACTTAAGTCAGAGAGGGGTTTTGTGGATATTATAGTAATTTAATAGTTGAATTCACAAGTCAGTTGAGCCGGCTCACTGCTGAGGAGTCCCATACTAGGATGAAACGGCTGTTCACTGCTTCCAGGTTTTCCATGGTGGTCTAGCTTCAAGTGACTCATGAATCCAACTATTAAGTTATTTGAGTATTTTTTGAGTCCTGTCAAACAAAAATCTTCAAATTTTTTTCAGTTGAGAATACTTAGTTTTTATGGTTTAGATTTCCCGGATTCTATCGTCAATCAGTCAGTTACAACGCAGGGCCAGGCATTTTTATGCATCGGTCCAAGTTGCCATATCTCATTAACACAACAAGATGGACACCGGATTCATAGAAGTAGTTAATTCATAGGTGGTAATACATAAAAGAAAGATTGTGTATAAGGATATAGTACAGAAAGAAAGAATTAGTTGGTAAAAGGAAAGATATGGAGCGATTTTGATTTCATAGTTTAAGGGAAAAAAGAGAGTGTACACACCTACACCATTGTAATGGATTCTGAGTCATGTCACCAAGAGTTTCCAACCATTGGTTACGATAGTCACGCGAACCCCAACCAGAAATTCTGCATCTACCAATATGGCTCAGACCAGAAGTTAATGACTTCAAGGACTGATGCCACGTTTTTGGTTTGACCGCCTCGAATTTTATCGTAACTGGTTCTCATGTTATTCATGATCCTTCTGTTTACAAATTTGAGAGACTTAAGATTGTGGTTTAGACGAAACGTTAGAAAGGGAGAATGTGATCTACCTTGACTCAACACTCTTGATCATGCATTTAATCACATTAAGCATTTTATAATATATCATGTTTTAAGAGCAGGTATGTTTTGTAATTCAGCTAAAGCAGTATCTTAAATTCATGGAATCAAAGCATTTTAAGAATTAATTATTGCTTGTTTTCACTTAGTCAATATTAACATACAAGTTATTATGTAGCATCGGATTTTAAATTCTATGCAAAACACATGTGTCACTTTAATTCTGATTGGCTAACTCAAGGCCGTCGGTATACCATGATTTTACCACTTTTTTAAATCACATTAATAATATTCAATGATATAATAGAAAACTTTCTGAACAAATTTGTGAGATCAGGTGATACATCAGTGGCAGATAACAACTAACATGAAACCCAGAATATTTAACTTCGATTATAAAACATTAGACATAATTCATCATGTTTTGATACGTGTTATTCAACACTCGTTAGTAAGGTACGCTTGTAATCTTGAGGGAACTACTGCTAAGTAACTTGAGTTCGGATCCCACAGGGGGCACATGTTGCCTCAAATGCACCGATAAGCCTTAGTGACCGGTGCCAACTAGAACGAAATCTAGGTCCAGACTCATCTCCCAACCACTTAACATTACAAAAAAATGCATGCACTGTTAATATTCTTACTCTAATTGTCATATTACAAGTTAATCAATAAAATTCAATTATTAACAGTACAGAACACAATTTTATCTTCTATTCAGTGATCAACTACTGATAAAAATCTATCCCATTTATTTATATTGACCATTTATAAACGATTTAAAGGTAGTTAAATTTTAACGATTTTTAGATTACGGAATAACTTATATCATACTTAAAAAATTCAAGAGACAATCTTATTGATTGAGGTTAATATAATCCGGGTGACATATCAAAGTCATACTCTTATAGAATTTTGAGTGGTATTTATAAAAAATGATTCTTCAAAGAAAACAACTTCTCTAACTGGAATAATTGTTTCCGAGATTGTTTTAATGTTGATAAGGTGATGAAACTATAATTTATGGACTTAATAATAGTTATTCTTGAAGTTCAGCACGACATTGATTCATCTTAATGGTTAGATACTATTTTGACATTGTAGCTGTTATTAGATTGTAATGAAAACATTTACTTTACTTTCTAACCTTAAAATTCAATTCTATAACCTATTTCTTAACTCTTCATATTAATTTATAACACACTTTTTTTACTTTAGGTAGGTAAATTTTCTTCAGACATTTTAAACATCACTCTAAGGTTATCCGATAAAGTTAATAGATCATAAATTTTATAAAATTCTTTTTTTTTCTTCAAAGATTCTACTTTCGTTTTTTAATAGTTGAGGTCATGATTATCATGGAAAACTTGTAAGCACTGGACAGCCATTTCATCCTACTGTAAGACTTCTCAACAGTGCGCATCCACGATTTCGCCACTACTTTACATAGTTATTAAACAAACTACATATATTAATTAATCATTACAAAAATCATTAAAAAATTTCAAAGAATTTCAGTGAGACTATAATTTATGAACGAACCAATCAGGTATAAGATAATAAGTCTCGGATTTTGGCGCGAAATACACTTATTCATTTGACAAAATAGAGCTTTAGCATTATAGCTGATATCAGTTCGTAACCAAAACCTCAAATATAATTCTTAATCTTAACCATCAATTAGAAATCACAATTCAAAGTCTTCACACAGGTTTATAACCTTTATTTGCTCTTAGTTATTAGCTGAACATTCTTAAGATTACTTTAGCGTTGCTTAAACATCGTCCATAAATTATAGTCACATCAGAATTTCTTCTTAATGATTACAATAAAAGATAATTCTAAAAAAAATAATAAATCAATATCTTTGTTACTTACATCAACCATAGACAAATCTTCACCAATACTTAATGCATATTTAAATAAATCCCTTCTTGAAATGATTCCATCTCTATTTTTATCAATCACTGTAAATTGTTCAAGATATTCCATAATATTGATTGATTAATTAATTAATTAATTAAATAATTAGAAACACCAAATTGTATACGTTAACATTCAGTAATAATAATAAGAAGAATAAAAAAGAAGAAGAGTGATGAAAGTAAATAAAAGACACTATTAATTCAGTCTAATCATTGTTTTCACATTCACATTCACATTCACATCTACCTACCTACCTACCTATCTATCTATCTATATAGATAGATAGGTAGATACATATGTATACGATCAAATAAATTAAACATTTTGTCACATTGTGTGTATTTCATAAGAAAAAAAAACAAATGATGTAATTTATTGATTAATCAACCAGTGATTTTATAACATTCAAATACAGTATTACACATTACTGTCTGTATGTTTGTCTATCTATCCGTTGTCTGTTTATCTATCTATATATCTATCTCTCTGTCTATCTATCTATCTATCTATATATTTGCATATTTAATTTGTACGCTTAGTAACATAATTCAATGTGCTCAAGAATAAATAATAAAATAGAGTTTTCTTTAATTATTTTATTTTGTGTTAGTATTGGTGCATAGTTTTGTGTATGTATGTTCGTATGTATGTGTATATGTATGCATGTATGTTAGTAGATGTGAATTTGGTTTTGGTGCTGACTTATATGAAAGATAAGGCGATTTGTTGAATAACAAATGAGTTAATTAGGTCAGACATTCCAAACTATGGGTCAATAATAATAATAATAATAATAATAATAATAATAATAATAATAATAACAATAGTGTTTCTCATATAATTTCTGAAACAAAAGAATAAACTCAAGAAAGAATGTAAATAATTTATGAAACGGAAGAAATATTAGTAATTTTGTAATAGTAATTTTAATTGAATAATAATAAAAAAATTTCGAAAGTCACTAGTTGATTCGATTATTATTATTATCATTATTATTATTATGCTTATAATTATTAACTCCGCCTGGAGTTCCTCCCAGGGCAACTGCCAGTCTCAAGACAGGATAAAGGAGGAGGGTTGGGCATGGGGTTAGCGACTCTATCCCGTAGAAAACTAACTCGCTAAGAAAACGCTCATCAGAAAAAAATTATTCAAACCATTTAAACTCTGCACTGGGAGTCAGAAGGTATTCATTTCGAAGACTTATGACGCCTCATGATGAAGGCCGATTTCCTTCGGAAGTCACGAGGTCGACGCCCTTCTGACAATCAGAGCAACCATTTATTTAGGTACATGGAATGTTCGTACAATGTGGGAGACCGGGAGGGTCTCCCGAATTGCTGCGGTTATAATTATTAAAGAGAATTAAATCTATTTATCTAGATTAGAATAATGTTTACTGGTTGACCTTGATGAAAGAATTATCGAATAGTAGGAAGCACTGGTGATCTTTTTCAGTCTGATAGAAGACTCCCCTGGAGTGTGCAGCTATGAACTCACGTTGAGTTGAATACATGACCATTTAGGTTCATGATAAACTCTTAGCTTTCAAACTACAGAGATGATAGTTAAATGTGTTATAACTTGTGCACTATTTCCTATTAATGTATAACGTAATGATCCCGCCAATTAGAGAACAGTGAATTATCGATCGGACCAACGACGCATAAAACCTATACGAGCAGTCTAAAGTCTTTACCGGTCCTGATTCTTGCCTAGCCCTGCCTGTTAGAGTCCAGAACACAAATCTCAGCCTCTGCGATATGAATCATGTATTTCAAGCATACTGGGTTTATATACCAACTAAACAGACCACATCGTACTATAAAATAGGAAATAATAAGATTTAGCCAAAAGTGGCTGTGAATGTGGAAACTGTAATTAATAAACTTGGCATAACTCATGAATGGTAAATCGTATAACAATAGTCCATAAGTCAAAATAAAGCTCATAACAAGAGGGATACGAATACAAATACTTTAGTTACTCAACAATTATACGGTGAAAATATATGTTTAGTATTGATCCATAAATGAATCCCCAAAGTTACAATTCATTATTCTCATCGGAATATAACAAGATGAAATCATTATTCAAAAAGTGGATTTGGGAAATAAAGACATAATTCACAAAATATTCCACTAATACAGTACGGCAAGAAGTTATGAGTCATATAACAGATCACCAATCAAAGGTCAACATATAAAACATGAAACAACCATTTAGGCATCAATTAAGACTGGCCTCAAACTCCCTCAACCCTCAACAATAAATATGTTTACGTGGGTAGGTAATTTGATCAGTGAAACAAGCTTTGCATCTTGCAGATGCAAATACTTACTTACGCCTGTTACTCCTCGTGAAGGAGCATAGGCCACTCACCAGCATTCTCCATCCAACCCTGTCCTGGGCAATCCTTTCTAGCTCCGTCCAGTTGTAATTCATCCTTTTCATATCTGCTTCTATAATCCGACGCAATGTGTTCTTTGGCCTTCCTCTTTTTCGCTTCCCTTCAGGGTTCCAAGTTAGGGCTTGCCTCGTGATGCAGTTTGACGATTTGCGTAATGTATGTCCTATCCATTTCCATCGTCTTTTCCTAATTTCTTCTTCAGCTGGAAGTTGGTTTGTTCTCTCCCACAGAAGGCTATTGCTGATGGTATCCGGCCAATGGATGTTGAGTATCTTGCGTAGACAGCTATTTATAAATACTTGTACTTTCTTGATTGTGGTTGTTGTAGTTCTCCAAGTTTCAGCTCCATACAGTAGAACTGCCTTGACGTTCGTATTGAAGATTCTCACTTTGATATTGGTTGAAAGTTGTTTTGAGTTCCATATGTTCTTCAATTGTAGGAATGCGACCCTTGCTTTGCCGATCCTCGCCTTTACGTCTGCATCTGAACCTCCTTGTTCATCGATGATGCTTCCCAGGTATGTGAAGGACTCTACATCTTCCAGAGTTTCGCCATCAAGAGTGATTGGATTGCTGTTTTCCGCTTTGAATTTGAGGACCTTGGTTTTCCCTTTGTGTATGCTGAGGCCTACTGATGCAGAGACTGCTGCTACACTGGCTGTCTTCATCTGCATCTGTTCGTGTGTACGTGATAGGAGGGCTAGGTCGTCTGCGAAGTCCAAATCGTCTAATTGATTCTGAGCTGTCCATTGTATTCCGTGTTTTCCTTCAGATGTCGAGGTCTTCATAATCCAGTCGACCACCAGAAGAAAGAGGAAGGGAGAGAGTAAACAGCCTTGTCTGACTCCAGTCCTTACTTGGAATGCATCTGTCAGCTGTCCTCCATGCACTACTTTGCACTGTAGTCCGTCGTATGAGTTCCGGATAATGTTGACAATCTTCTCAGGAACTCCGTAGTGTCGAAGAAGTTTCCATAATGTCCTCCTATCTACACTGTCGAATGCCTTTTCATAATCAATGAAGTTGATGTATAGTGATGAGTTCCACTCCACTGATTGTTCGACGATGATCCGTAGTGTTGCAATTTGGTCTGTGCACGACCGATCCTTACGGAATCCAGCTTGTTGATCTCGAAGTTGGGCGTCTACTGCATCCTTCATCCGGTTCAGCAACACTCTGTTGAAGACTTTCCCTGGTATTGACAGTAGTGTAATGCCTCTGTAGTTTTCACATTTGCTCAGATCTCCTTTCTTTGGAATCTTGACGAGGTGTCCTTCTTTCCAGTCCATCGGCACTTGTTCCTCCTCCCAAATCTTTTTGAATAGAAGGTAAGCATGCTTGTGGTTGCTTCGATGTCTGATTTCAGTGCTTCAGCTGGTATGTTGTCGGGTCCTGCTGCTTTCCCGTTCTTGATTTGTCTGACGGCCATTCTAATTTCTTCCGTCGTTGGTGGGTTGACATCTATAGGAAGATCTATGTGTGCTGCTTCGATGTCCGGTGGATTCATTGGAGCCGGCCTATTCAGGAGTTCCTCGAAGTATTCTACCCATCTGTTACGCTGTTGTTGAATTTCGGTGATTGGCTTGCCTTCTTTGTCTTTGACCGGCCTCTCTGGTTTACTGTATTTCCCTGCTAGTTTCTTCGTTGTATCGTGAAGCTGTTTCATATTTCCTTCTCTAGCAGCTTTTTCTGCCGTCGTTGCTAGTTCTTCCACGTATTTCTTCTTGTCGGCTCTAATGCTCCTCTTCACTTGTTTGTTTGCTTCTATGTATTCAGCTTGTGCTTGGACTTTCTCTGCTCGTGTTCGGCTGTTGTTAATTGCTGCCTTCTTGTTCTTCCTTTCTTTGATCTTGTCCAGTGTTTCTATAGAGATCCATTCCTTATGATGGTGTTTCTTTAGGCCCAGAACCTCTTGACACGTTGAAGTTAATGCTTCTTTGATGCCTCCTCCTTTACCCAGGCTTGGGACCGGCAGTAACTCTAGAAGAGCTACAGGCGGAGTTAGATGCAAATACTGATGTATTTAATAAAGCATGTTATTACCAAATGACTTGAATAGGTAAAAGTGTGTATGTGTGGTAGCGGGGTTAGGAACGATAATAGGGTAACGACAAATTGCTTTTTCTAAAAACAAACTACCTTTACTGAAGTGTATTTTACTGTAGATATTCGAATATATGAGATAAAAGCATTCAAGATTTTAAATGTGTAAACGTCTATGAATATATCGATTTACATATATATGTGAAACCATTTATAGTTCGTTTTAAAGTATCACTGATGAAAACAATAGAATGATAAGAATCCAGTGATATCTTCCAACCAGCTTACGCTTTGTACTTCATCAAACAGCTTTTCAGATATTTTTCATCCAGAACTAGCTTATCATAGATAACAAATGAAAAGCAGAAAACACTGGGCACAGAGGTATCTTGTCTTTTTTGTATGAATAATTTCAAAAGTAAATATCCATGACCACTTCAGGCAAACTTACTCATTACTTGCTTACGCCTATTACTCCTCGTGGAAGCATAAGCTGCCAAACAAGATTCTCAATCTAATTCCGTCCTCAGCAATCCTTTCCAGTTGCAATTCATCCTTTCGATTTCTGCCTCCAATTCTCAATACAATATGTTCTTTGATCTTCCTCTTTTGC